CAAAGAAAAATCTTGCATATAGTTATGATTATAGGACAAAATTTGTACTATTAGCAAGAATGGCTTTGTATTTCATTTAGGAATGATTTCACATGTATTTAAGTATTAAAACTTAAGATGTTCTTCAGTAAAGCTTCTTCATTACTTGAAAAAAAAAGTACTTAGAAAAACCGTGTATTTCTAAGTATTTAGAAAAAAAGAATCAGAAACAACCACAATGCCCATCAGAAGGAGAAAAGATGACAAGAATTCACACAGTGGAGTGTCATGTAGCACTTAAAATTAAGGGCAAAATGCAATAACATAATACAAAATATCTGTTAGGAATATAATATTAAGTAAACAAAGGTTTCAGAAAATACTTATAGAATGATTCTATTTACATAAAGTTCCAGAACACACAAAAATAAATCATTGTGTAGGAATCCTAAGAAGTGCAATAAAATAATAAAGAGATAAAAGGGAATGAGAGAGATTACATTCTGGACAGTGGTTATCTCAGAGGAGGGAAAGGACTGGGGAAGTGGCCTTCAATGGCAGTGGTGACATTTTTGTTAAACTGGATGTTGAGTCCACTAGTTTATGCTGCAAAGTTCTTATAAAATATAGTATAAGAGATGCTTTTAAGAAAACGTAACTGCAGGAAGGCAGTGGCTAAGAACAGAAAATAATCATGAGGGCCAAGATCACTTTCTACTGAGCACACAGTGGAGAAGTGACATTCAGTGACACTTCAAAGCATGTGAGGCATTTGGGTGGGAGAGACCAAATGGGCAGTGTGGGCAAGGGCCTGACATGAGTTCTGGAAAAGATATATTTGGGGAGCACTGGGTGTGTTCATTTGTTGTCCTTAATAGCTGTAGGGAAGCTGGAACATGATTGTGTCTTCAAAGACCCTGAAACCTAATTTAAATTACAATCATCAACTTCCATTCTAAAACTTAAATGATGGTGCAACAGACCAAAGGTAGGTGTTAAAATGAACCATATTTAAGCTAGACAGAAAATGAAAGATTCATAGTAATAGTAAATACTTTTATAAAGGCTTATAGCTATTTTTAAAAAGTATATAAGCATATTTTTAAAATATATGAATATTGAAATCACTTAATCCATTTTCACCTTCCAGGACAGTATTTGATTAAGGCAAGGTTCATCACCGAATGTTGCAACTATTGAGTGAAAATGTTTTGGGGAACAGAATACATGCAAAGATTAAATATCATCTCACAGATGATATATTCCAAAGGGGA